CCTTACCTTTGTCCCGAGGGGGACAGACCCTCCGCTTTCCTGGGGCCTTTGGAGTGCTTTCCCTCCAAGGCGGTCTTGGACCCCTCGGCGGTCTGGCCCTCCTCCGAGCCGGTTGAGGGCGGAAGTGCGGGGCCTTTCTCTGTTGTCATTGTGGCGGTCCCGGGACTGAACTTCCTGGGAGGACGTGTCTTGGGCCACTACCCCCTCGTCGTTCCCAACCCGAGGGGTGGGGTTTCCGAAGGGGTGTGGAGGGGGAAGTATGATGTTCTCCCCAACCTGGGGTTGAGCCGGAGCCAGGGTGCCGAAGGCACCTGGGTTCTGAGTGAGCGTTTAGATGAAGGCGGAGAGCGCCGATTGAACATCGATGGTGAGGACCGGAGGGCTGACTTGGTCGTCGCTCCGGTTTTTCTTCTTGGCCTCGATGCCGAGGCGGTCATCGGGGGCATTCTGCTGGATCTGAAGGCATAGGTCGACAGCCGCCTGTTCCAGCCCAGCGATGACACCGCCCTCGGGAGCCCTGTGAGAGGCTTCGGGGGCGTTGACGTCGCCGAGGGCCAGGTTCTTGTCTTCCACATTTTTGGAGTTGGCACGTGTTGTTCTCACCATTTTTGGTAGAGGGCTAGTGTTTGGCGAAGGGGGAGGGTTTCTTACTCGATTTGTTCGACCTCTCAATGAAAGCACCAAATGATGGATAGTCTACCCGAGGGGGTATATATCCGAGGGGTTATCGATGGGAATAACTTAGAGAGAAGTCAGAGCACAAGCAAGTAAGAGAGAGAGTATATTGAGTCTGAATGTCGTGGTTACAAATGGGGAAATGGGGTGCTATTTATAGTAGCAATAAATGCCGGGCAGGGACACGTGTCAAGCGCCTATTGGTCGAGGGGTCACCTTAACAGGTTGGCGTTGGCAGCCGCATGTGGCCGCATTTAATGCGGCTGTTGGATGGGACGTCTGTACAGAGTACGGCGATCTGTACGCATGTGAGGCGGATATTATGTCGGGAGAGGTGCCCTCGGCTGCAGAGGACTAGCCGAGGGCTCTTAGTGCCGAGGACCCCTGAGTGTCGAGGGCTCCAGGTGCCGAGGGCTACTGTTTTCGCCGTTTTCTCCCAGTTCCTCTGTTTTTTCGAAATATCCATGTTGTGATAGTTTGGAGCCTTCGACCAGGGGGCCGAAGGCACCCCTGGTGCGTATTGCGGGCTGCTTGGTACTCTGGGCGCCGTGATTTGGGCCTGTTGGGCCTTCTGGGCCTGTTGGGCCTCTACTGGAGTAGTAGGAGTCTGTGGGTCGGGTGTTCCCGGGCCATACACTCCATCAGCGGTTACCCGCGGTTACCCGAAATTTTACCCGTTAACCGTTGGGACGGTTATGGTTTGAGTAAAAATTATCCGTTGGGTAATGGGACGATTACGGAACAGGAAAACGTGTTTTTTGCGTCGACAAAAAGTGGACGCGAATAGTCTAAAGTCGACCCAAATAGTTTATTTGCGTCGACAAATGTACACTAATGGGTTGATGCAAATACTGCGATGCAAAAGCATTATTTGCGTCGACATCTGCTAACGCAAATAAGATATATCTTTGATTCTTTGGCGTCGACTTCGTCAACGGAAAAAGTGCCATTTATAAAAAGAAATTACCTTTTGCATCGACATGTGAACGCTGAAGGTGGTATTTTAAAAAAAATGATTACATGCAAAATACATCAACACAAGATCCTGAAATATGCAAAATATAACAACTTAATTCTCAGGTTATTAATACATAGTTTTGAATAAAGAGCACGGATCACTATATAATTAATCTTGTCATGATTTCACTATGAACTTGTAGCACCTTTCCTCAAACTCTCAAATATGTAGTTCACCAATTCAATGTATCACTTTATTTAGGAAATATATCAGCTACCAATCAAAAAGAAGTTCATAAGTGGTTATTTTAGAAACCTAAGCACAACATTCATAAATTAACCATCAAATTGGTAGGATAGAACATAATGTGAAAATAAAAAGTATATTGCTGAATTTGATTCAACTCCAGCATCTGAAGAACATTTGCGGACCTGAAACAATAACTTATACCCTGCTGTTACTTGCATGCTCTAAACTAACAAGTCAATAACTAAGATATAATATTTAATTTAGTAATATAAATTATGATAACCTAAAAACAAACTTATATTTATTAAAAAAAAGTCAATATTAAATTTATGATAACCTAGAATTGCTTCCGTAATATGGAATTAAAGATAGCCTAACACAAAGTATCACTCTTGAAAAAATAGATGAGGAAAAACTCAAGGATTCAACAAGAAAGAAATTAGTTGGACAAGTGGAGATAAACATAGTAGAGAGCTTAGATTACATTAATTAGTTAGTAGTTGACCTTTTAAATGTTGAGAGTATAGCTATGTTCAGGAGCAGTGACTCTTTAATGGAGATTAAGCTCTCACTGCAACTATCGGGGAAATTTGGACCAAAGAAAGTTCACACATAAGATTGGCACTTTAGAAATATTATGAGATAATGAATTAAGAACAACTAATTTACTAAAAAGGAATGCTCACCAACAATCGCAGCAATTCAAGATATATGTCCATGAACCTTAAATGATTTGGAAATTTCTTGAGCCTTTCTATATTTCCCTAACATTGGTGTTCACGGTGGGCTGTTGAAAGCATATACAAACTTTCAGAACATTTATTCTAAGTATACATCTTCCTATATGCAAACAAGAGTAATGCCACTGAAAACTTCCTCCCTCCAAATACTTAGTCTCTTGCTAATGCGCTATAGTACTTCACAAACCATGTTTCAAAATTGCTAAAAAAGAGAAAAGTATTGATGAAAAGCAATGTAGTGGGCGAACACTAGACCTGTACAAACACGGACTCGGACCGGATTCGGGCCGGGTTTTATCTAAAATTCCTGCCCATTTATATGGGCGGGGCCGACTCGGTCCAGATCAAACGGGCCACCTCCCATGTCCAAGCCCGCCCATAGTAGCGGGCAGGATAGTCCACTGGGTCGCCCGGCCCGGAAAAGTTTACCATTGTTTAAATTTGATGAAAAAGTTAATATCATTTTTAAAATAAAATCAAACCATTTTAAAAGTAATTAATGAACAAACTAAAATAAGTATGCCTTCATGATATACACAAACTATTTTGAACAATTGATCAGCTCTAGTAATCTAGAATGTTTTTTTGTTTGGCCGCTCAACCGCTACTATGCCGATCAAATGGGAGTAAGGTTAATTAGATCTTCTGAAGAGACTATCAAGCTAAGTCTCGAGCTCATAAAAACCCCCTTATTTTGAGGTAAGTCTTCAGCTCAGAAAAACCCTGCAAACACAGGTCATTGTTGCTAATAAAAATGTGACGGACCTTTGTCTCATTGGTATTGAGCTAGAAATCAAGGTAAATATGTTTAGTTGAACAAAATAGAGAACTGTCATGTATTAGTGAGTTAGCAGCCCTGAAACATCTGAAGAGACTATAAGTTACCATCAAAAGAAAAAGATGCAGCAAAACCTTATAAAATCGGTCGTTAATCAGTTAAAAACCCGGTTTTCACCGGCTAGAAATCGATTGAATTCGGTCAAGATAATCGATAGGGGAGGCTTTCATTCAGAAGATTCATAGTGCTCCTGAAACGCAGACTCTCGCTAATTTAGACTCGCAGTTGAGATGCTCACTTGAGAGAAAGCTTCATCCTAGCCCCTGAAACTCATTTCGTCGGTTTCTCCTCCGCTAGAGGAGGTTTCTCTTGGGTATTGGATACGGAGTAACATCTAGGGTTTTGTTTAGTTTTACTGCCCCAAAAACTTTAATACTCCGTACTTAGTAAATGGTATTAGCGTCCACACGAATAGTACTCGGTGTTGTAGTAAGAATTATTCGTAGAGATTCATTACCAAAAGCCCCTATAAATAGGGATAGAGTAAGGTTTACAAATACGGGCCAATAGGCCCATAATACATAATTTACATAGAAAACCCCTAATACATATTCTATCTAAACGATATCACACAACATAGAATTTCCTTCAACACTCGGTGATATTTTCCCCTAATTTTTTACTAAGATTTTTTGCATCCAGAAGTGAACGCAAAAGACCAATTACTTGTGTCCAACTGGACCCAAAAAGTTTAAACGCAAATAACACTTTTTCTTGTAGTATTCCCAACGGGACATGTACGGTTTTATGTAAAACGGTCCCCGATCCGCCTCGTTGTCATTCCTAGTTAGGACAACTTATTTTTTTACAACTTATTCAGAAGGGGTGGAAGCAAGAGAATTCCATCAATTGAGTTTTTACTTTTTTTTTTTTTTCATTTCAAATTGAACTTGCTCATTTATTGCGATGTTATTTTGTCGTACAATAAGGGGGAGGGTATGTGTGTTGGTTTTTTTTGGTAGGTAAAATTCTTGTTCGAGGCAATCAAGCTCACTCAGCCGCTAATAGCCTCTATGCTCTCACTGTTTCAGCAATTAGTCTTGCCCTTTAATTTCCGAAGTGGACTATTCTATGTTTGATCATGATGTGGGGGGCCAAATGCTTTTGTTATTGGTTGGATAGAGGGAGATTTAGATCTTGGGATCGGACACGATGTTTGCTTTGTTTCAGTTAATTTTAATATAAGCATTTTTCTTTATAAAAAAACTGAACTATGTAGTAAATGACTACTCCATAATTATTCATTAGAGTTTTTGTCATTTTTTGTCCTCCGACTATTATGTCATTGACATTTTTGATATTCGATTTTGACTCTTTCCACTTTTAGTCCTCGACTATTGTGTTAGAGACACTTTTAGTACCCGTTTTAAAAAAATTTCATATTTAGTCCTACAACTTTCATGGAGGTGACATTTTTTGTCCTTCAACTATTATATTAGTGACATTTTTGTCTCTCACTTATTGTGTCAAAATGATAGCGAAATGACTAAATGTGTCAATTTGATAAAACTCAAGGACTAAATGTCAAAAACTTTGAAGTCGAGGATTAAAAGTTTCTCTAGCACAATAGGCGATGATTAAAAACGAAAAAATTAAAAGTCGATTACAAAAAATGTAACTTACGTCATTAAAAACCCTAATAAGAGTAAATTAATCGAGGGAGACCAAAAATAGAAAAGCTCTCTCATCCAGGGACCCTAAATGCAAGCAGCAGAAGAAATAACAGTAAAATAAATATTACTCCGAACAACGTCATTAAAAACCCTAATAAGAGTAAATTAATCGAGGGCATTACTCATTAGGGCCAGTACAGTAGTTAACAATATGATTCCAAACCCACTGGACCAAGAATCTCCGCCTTAACCCATTCATATTATATGTGGCACCATCTCTGCCGTTCAACACTTGCCCTGTGTACGACCCGCCTCCGCCGGTGCCGTAAATTCCCATGCACAGATCCGCGATTTCCACGGGGAAACTCGGGTCGGCACCCGCGTACCACGCGTTACCTAACGGATTCGTCGATATCTCCGCTATCTCGTGAGCTATCACGCTAATCATTCCGTCAACCCCGACGTCTCCGTTAGGTGATTTAACGGCCTTCAGACCCGGAATGTAATCGGGCACAGCAAACGGGTACGCGCACATACCCGGGCACATCTTCCCGGAATTACCCACCCAAGCAAACGGCAGAGTGTACCCGACGATGGACGGAAACGTGAAGTAGTGCAACCCACAGACGTTGTTGCAGAAATCCTGAACGTACACGTCATCAGCGGTGAGCAAAAGATACACCCCGCTTTTCGGGTTGACCGGTAACGGTCGGGTTGACGCCGTGACGGCGGTTCTAATAACGGACTGAAGAGTCAAACGGGTCAGCGACTTGCCGTGGGAATAAAACCGGTCGTTTTTTTCCGACCCGAGGATGACATCCCGGGAAATGTTGGCCCCGGTTTGGTCGGTGTATTGGCGGACGGTTTTCCACCACCCGGAAACGGCGGGACGCTTAACGCCGGCGGCGGATATGGAGGCGATGAAGTCCCGGATGACCCGCTTATGGGGTCTCTCCCACCGTCCGTACCAAATGGGATAAACGGTGATGGTGGCAGAGAGGATGGGACCCATGTGGTATTTCAGGCGGACAAATTTCGACGAACCTTCGAATTTCTTAGACCCACCAAATATGGAACCTGTGGAGTTCAGATTTGGAATCGGCAATTGACGCCGCCCAGTAGCAGGGAGTGGGCTGGCGGAGAAAAGGAATATTCTGGTGAGAACGGCGAGGACAAGCGCCTGCCTCATTTTTATGGGGTAGAACGGAAGCTGGTGCGAAAGGTTTGGACTTTGGTGTGTGGAGTCTAGCTATCAGAAGTGTTTTTTATGCTCCATGAAAGTGTGCAGGCAGTGCAGCAAGAGCATCGGAGGTGGGGGCCACTGGCTACAAAAAATACAGAGAATGAAAAAGTGTGGAGCTAGGCAGCTGGCTAGAGCTTTGGAAATTGGACCTAGGGCGGCTGAGACAGGATGATGGCGACCAGTAATGGCTACGGCCGCCTAATTTTGTACGTAGGAGGTGATGTTCACCCCTTGGTTCTAGGGTTGACATTGTGAAGTATGGTCTTGCCACGTGGGAGGCAAATAGGGGCGAGGGTGAAAACAACCCTCTCAAACTAGGGTGAACAAAATTGTGTTCCTCAATCGTCACATGTAAACAGTGAAAACGTATACTCTACCCTCAAGAGTAGATTTGACTAGATAATTCTCTCATCGGAATCCGACAATTGCGATTAGAGATTATTAAATAAAAAAAAGAGTAAATTCCGTGGATAGGAGTAAATAAATCAAGAAATGCATAAATACGAGTCTAGGTTTTAATAGGACTGAAAGTAACATGAGTTGACCAATTTTCCCTTTAAAATTAGAATCCCCAACTCCTGTAGGTCATCTTCTCCGCAACGTACGAACCTCACACACCCATCATCACCTGCAGACCCCAACAGCAATTGCTGTAGGCCATCTCCACCGCCACCGGCCGCCATCTGCCGGAGATCCGTCGGCCTTGGCACAACATCCAGAATCCCGCCACCTAACGTCGCTGCTAGTCGCTGGAGATCCGGCGATGCAAAAAACAATTCAGAATTTTTTCTCAATATTTCTGCCACCACCTTTATGCCCCCACCGCCGTCACATGCCGCCTCTATCGGTTGCTCTACCCCTATTGCCGTCACCCATGTCATCGCCGGCGAGAACTCTTCCCCCACCGGCCGCCACCTCTGCCACCACCACTATTACCATCTCCACCGCCACCGCCAACGCCTCCATGGTGCCATCTCCACCACCTACGTCGCCACCACCATAGGCGCCATCGGTGGTTTTATCCACCGCCTACCATATGGCAAATCTCTGGTCTGACCTCTGATTTGTTGTCGATATCATGTAAGTGTCGTAGTTAGATTGCCATTTTAATAACATTATTGTCATCCTGATAGAATAAGATGACATTTTCAGATAAAAACATGACATTACTGTATTTTCAAAGAAGTTATATTACCATCTTTGTAACATTGTGTCATAACGATGGCATTAAGTGTGGAAATAAGTTATGGATATCATATAAGTGTCGTAGTTAGATTGTCATTTTAATAACATTATTGACATCCTGACAGAATATATAAGATGACATTTTCAAATAAAAAAACACGGCATTAATGTATTTTCAAAGAAGTTATATTGTCATCTTTGTAACATTAGTGTCATAATGATGACATTAAGTGTGGAAATAATATTTGCACATAAAAAATAGGCCATTATTAGTATTGCATTAATAAAGGAGTAATATTTTCAGTAATGCCACGAAAATTATAAAAGTAATTTGAAAAGTTACAAAAAATTGATTGAAATTCATATACTCCCTCCGTCCCTTATAACTTTGCCAACTTTCCTTTTTTGGTTGTTCCAAAAACTTTGCTATTTTCCCTTTTAATCAATCAATTTATGACTTCTGTTGTTTCTCTCTCCTCTGCACAAATCTCTACCACACAATTTTTACTTTATTATTCTACGTGCCGGTCAAACTTGACAATCTTTTTAGGGACAGAGGGAGTAAAAAATTATAATCTTATTGTAAAAGATAAAACATTTCAGATTATTTAATCATCCTTGTTAAGTCAACTAATTAAGAAATTTAGAATTGATCAGATCGGAGACGGTAATTACTTTTTCTTCCACTCTTGAAGTTCACCGGAAATTAGAGTCAAGAAGAGACGTAAATTAGAAAAATAGAATATTGGACAAGAAAGACAAGGAAGTTATACACTACATTTCTGGAAGTTATTAGTCATTAAGTTTTTTCAAAACTTCAGCATTCTTTCGATTTATACTAAAATATAACATAAATTATCTAAAAGGAACGGATAATATAATTTATATAAACACACACTTAGCTATTTTCAAGGAAGAATGAAAGCATATATAAGCTATCATTGTTTTTAATGAACAGGAGATTTATAAGGATGATAAAAATATAAAAACCTCAAATGTATTATTTTTTGAATGGTTTGGTCTGCTATTTCTCGATTCTCAAAATCTAGTAGTGGTCACATACTCTGCCCGTTTCAAATGATATAATTTCAGTTCAGAATAGAAATATATGGAACCGGTTTAATACCTGTTATTCTGTTTGGTACAATTACGTGTCGGTTCGGTACCGGTTTGGTTTTATGCCCATCCCTAACTCATTATCAAAAAATGAAGCATCACAAAATAAAATAGTTGATATTATTATAAGGATTTTTTCTTAATGTTTATATGCTTCTCTTCAATTCACAAACTAACGAAGTATACACAGTCTTTCAAAATGTTATTTCAAAATTTGTGTTTCTTTTTCATAACACAACAAACATACATTTTAGAATATTAGTATATATACATAACCTATTTGCTAATTATAATTAAGCCTGAAGGTGCTAACTTAAATAAATTAAATATTATGGAATGTATATACATTCATGTTTGGAAGTGTTTTAATTAAGATTCTCTATTAACAAAAAACCTTGTTGAAGTATTTATTATTTCCACACAGTAAAATAAAATATGAATAAACTAATATACGAATTAGACTATTTCTTCTATCAAGTTGACTTTTTATGGTGAAACCAAATTAATTAACACCTATGGTGGATTTAAATTAAAACACGAAAGGAGCAACCATTGTTGTGGAGATGTGCTTTGACAGAAAATGATACCCAAATGTGGAAGTGCATCATAGACGGTGAGCTATGTATGATCCCAAAAAACACGTGGTGGGCCGACAAAATAACTTATAACAAATTTTTAATTAACTATTTTTACATGAAAAAATGTTTCTATATAGAGACATGGACTCGAGTTCAGCCCTTTTACCTACGCTTATGTACATGGTGATGTAAACTTTGATGTGGTAAAGCAAAAAGTCTATAAAATCTACGACGTATAATGTTAACAAATTACATTTTGCATGCAGACTAATTAGTTCATGTCATTAGTCGTGATATTTAGCTTGCCTTTTGCTTGTTTGCTCTATTTGTCTGTCTCCAACAAAAATAAGAGTGGCTACTGCAGCTGCACAAATAAGTGATAGTCACATGTTTGAATGATTGGTCAATCAATTTTACTATAAATTAAAGTAAAAGTAGAATTAATTAATTTGTACAATCAGTGGCGGACCCACTAAGGGTCCCACGGAGTCCCGGGACCCCATGGACCTCCAAAAAAATACCTATATATTTTTGTATATATTTAATATAAAATTAAGTAATGAGTGTATTTATACGATCGAAACTGGTTTAGAAGATAAATACAGAGCTAGAGCAATGGTTGGAGGTTCAATCTTAGAGTTTTACACGTTTAGAGGTCTAAGGATCAATTCCCCCAAGCATCCAATTTTTTGAAAATGAAATTATGGAACAACCTGCTTACCTGCACCTCTATTGCCCAACTTGTAATCTAATTTTATCAATGCCCAATTTTTTCATAAGAAATAATACTACTATAAACCAGTATGTATACTCAAATTTCAGCTTATCTTTTTTATAAACTAATTTCATCATGAAACACGTAATTCTTGAATTCACGCACTGAATTTGTAATAATTAAAATAAGCAAGTTAAAAACATTTTTTCAGCGAGATGACTGAAGTTACCGTAGAGCATCATCTTAGCCACTTTTTCATATGCCTTTTTCAAAATCTTATAACATATAATTTAAATATCATTCTTTCCTAAAATAGCAGATTCAGTCGCTTGAGCCATAATCGCATAATTTGGCTTGATGTGGTTTGATCTAAGACTAAAATCAATCCAATAACAAAGTCCTTAAAGTTACACAAATAAATTGGTATTTGTATTAAATTAAAATAGAAAAAAGCTAATGAATATATTTTAAATAAAAATCCAAATAAAATAATGCGAAGTAATTGGATCGAAATTTTCAAATGTAGGCTTTTTTGAATTTGATTTCTCATATGCATGCCCATTTTTAAATTATTTTTTTCATAATCAGCAGAAACAGTCAATACAGTCACTTCAGTCAGAACTTCATAAATTTAAGTACAATCAGCTGATTCAGCCGATTTCAGTGTTACCAAACGAGCTCTAGTTGATAGTGGACATTTCTTTAAAATTTTGGAATATCTTTAAAATTGTTGTATACGTTAACTATGAAACGTTATGCTATTTTAATATTTTACTTCTTCTTTTTATTAATTTTTTATTAATTCGAGTTACATTACAGTAGAGACCCCGTGATTCTGAGTTTCTGGGTCCGCCACTGTGTACAATCATATGAAATATTCATTAATATGTTAAAAAACTATTGAATTGCGAGTTTAGTTAGCAAAAAATCTTTAACTTTATCACAAACAATGAGATAACCCAGAAAATGCTAGAACAGAAGTAAGAGAGGAAATAACAAAATATGAACAAATTACACAAATAGGATCACAATTGTTTTCTTTCTAAAATAGAATACACACTCCTAATTTGGAAAATAAAGATCCATACTTTTAATAGGATCAAATAACTTACATTTTAGAAATTAAACATAAGCACTTCTATTTATGCATTTTGTCTATGTTTTAGTCCTATTTAAAACAATTTAATTTCTTCTTTTTCTCCGTTTACATAATAGAATCAAGTGGTCCTTTTGGAAGTCATATACTCATATGCGTACACATATTTGCAACACTGTATTCACGAGTCATTTACTCCTAGATTGCAATATGAGCATATGCATTACTATACGGAGTATGTTTCTTTTCCGTTAAGTGATCAAATGAGCATCCAAAAGAAGAAGTGGGCATTTTACTAAGGCAAAATGAGTTTTCCTAAACATAAAATGAGCAGCTTTGATATATATGAATTTTTTTATCTATATTGGATTTACCGGGATTGGATCAAGAATTGCTCCTACACGGGTTATGATTCAAGGGTAGAATTTAGGCTGACTTCCAAGAGAAAATAATGAAAAATGTCAGTTTGAATTTGGTCTAAAACAAAGATTGTGTCGCA